CATATAAGTATATCGGTAACCGTTCTACCAATTTGTACCAAACTCGGTGTGGTTATTGTGCTTGCCACATATAAGCAAAACGTTGAAAATTATTGAAGCATTTATGTATACATTTGTCTATATCTATCTCGATTCGTTTTGGCTGTTACAAACAACCGTTATGTGAACAAAATTAATATACCCTTGTGCACAAGTGCGCTCGGGTATAACAAAACTGCATCATCGTTTTTTACCATAATACTGGTCTGGTGATCTCAGTGCGAATTCGGCATGGGATGTTGTCATATTTACTAAAATAATAAAACTGTATACATACAGACATGTGTGTTCATATACACATTTACATACATATGTACGTATATACACATTGTTAGGCCAAAAGAAAAAAATTTCCCATTTATGTTGTGACACACCCTATTGTATACTCTTAGACATGAAAAGCATTCTAGCATAGACCATTTAAATGTTCTTTGAATTTTGAACAAGCAAGTTCAACGATGAACTGCTAGAATGTAGCCATGTGGGAGGGTGAAACTGAAATATACTGAGAAAATTGTCTGCACAAGGAACATGAAAACTACAACTATTTTACATATGTATGTATGTATATACATAAGAATACTCACGTATAATAATTACGTGTTTGTATATCAGTGTTGCCAGAAGTCCAGATTCTTAACCCATAATTATATGTCCCACGCGGGACTGACTCATAGCGTTTTCTTTTCTCACAAAAAATTTTACCCTCATAAATGGCAATATTCTCTTTACGTCACACCCATCCCTAAAATATGGTAGCATTAATTGCGCAAGAAAAGAACATAAAGGCTACCCTGGATATCAGCTGATGCTATCAACCAAAAAATACAAATTTTGCAAAATAGAAAATAAATCGAGTCGCTTTATTAAAATGGATGTAAAAAAGGAAAGCCCATTATATAAAACATTGCAGCGTAAGTACAATGAAAACTGTTAACTAGAATTTTCAAGTGGAATATGGCTTTACTTTTTGCAGTTTGGTCAGATGGAGAGAGCCGGCTCCTTCTTGATAGATACGCGCACTACTTACCTGATATTGGCCCCATGAAAACGTTGAAAAATAAGAAGGAAATGTGGATAAAAATTGCAACAGAAATTGAAGGCAAAAGTCCTAAGCAGTGCGAGGAACGGTACAAAACAATCGTAAGAAGAAAGAAAGCCGCTGTGGAAAATAACAACACATCCGGAGCAAAAAGGCAAAAAATTGACTTCGAGGGCGAGCTCGATGAAATATATAAGCTGGATGACTCGATCGAGCCCGTAATCCAGATAAGCAGCCAGAATGTTTTACGAAAAATTTCTTGTAATGAACGTGTTGTGAAATACGAAAAAAAGGAGAAGAAAACCGTACAAGAGACTTTGATGGAGATAGCGCAAAATAAGGAGAAAGCTCGGGAGAGAAGACACAAAGAAAAAATGAACTTAATTCAAAACTTACTGGGAAAGATGGTAGAAGACAAAAAGTATTAATTTCGCACCTACAGCTGTCCACATAATAATAGGAGTGCGATATTTTGACCAGTTTTGACTACTTTTCTTTTGTTTATTAAATATTTTATTTTTATTTTTATTTTTATTTTTATAAAAATGTAGTTGGTTATACAGCAAACACCATATAAGTAAACATTGCAAACTTTGTACAAAAATTATAAAATTTCTACAAAAGTTCGAAAATTGCAAAAGTTTAAAACTTTTTAATGCGAATCTTTAGAAAAAATTTTAGTTTGCTGTTGTGTAGATCATTAAATTGTATATAATAAAGTGGCATTTACAAGTATAACCAACTACATTTTTATAAAAATAAAAAAAATATTTAATAAAGAAAGAAAAGTAGTCAAAACTGGTAAAAAATATCGTACTCCTATTACTTTGTGAACAACTGTAAATGCTGACATATTTTTATTAAAAAATATAACCTACTACGATGAGTGAATTTCTAGTTTTGTTAAACAAAAGTTTGAATTAATTAATATTTTTATTTTAGTTCTTTTCTAATAAAAAGGCAGTTAAACAAATGTTATGAAGAGCACAACAAGCTATAATAAATTTGGCCATGACTTCCACATTGTGAAAATCGAGACGCATTAGCTCGCGAAAACGATAATTTTAAAACCCGCGAATTATGAATTTTGCTAGGAATGCCTGTATATACGTCCAGAAAACGTAGCTTTGCATCGCAAATTCCTTGCAACGTTATTGATGCACAATCATGTCTATTTGTGTAGGTTGAACGTATTTTATTCTTAGGCTTTCTAATGGAAATGTAGCTACCATCTATGCAGCCCAAAACGTTTGGGAACCCAGCAATCTATTAACGTCATAAAGAACATTTTTTAAAAGTGCTTTAATAACCAACTTTTAAGTTTTAATATAAACCTTTTCAAATTCCCTCGCAACAGCTTCTTTCTCAACACCTTCCTTTGGAAATTTTATTGACTCTGGCGCCACAGCTTCCACTAAGAAACTCAAAACTTTATTGAAGGTTAAATTAATGTTCGACAACGTCACGCCAAAAAGGTTTGCTACTTCTCTGAACGTCGTTTTGTTAGCGCTAAACCTGAAATACGTGCAATCAATGAAAACTTTGTAATACATTCGTAGATATTATGTTGTATTTCTTGCATCTTACCACAAAAAAGAAAGCATATGAGTTTCCGCTGTAGATTGCAGTCTGCCTTCCTTGTAGCTCCTTTTTACATACCATCTGCTAGAGGAATACCTTGCGACGAGATATTCTGCACTGTCGCGCGTAATGCGGAAGTTTGTTTTGAACTGCAATGTAAATAAAATTTATTAAAAATTTTCTTGCATTTTTTTGCAGTGCAGAATAAGTGTAGAACTTTTTCGAGAAAAGAAAACGCTATCAGTCAGACTCGGAGAAAGAACGAAAAGGAACCGCACCATTATTTTGTTCAGGGTTTGTTCTTTTCCTCCGTGTTTTTTCTTAAAGTATTGCAATCCGTGTACCATGAAATGGCTTCGCAAGACTTCGAGAATACCTCTATAGTTTTTTCATATTAAGTGTACCAACTTCAACCGTCTTTTTCCAAATGAACTTAAATCGGTTTGATAGAAGAGACAAATGGTCCGTAAATTTATGTAAATAAAGCTGAATTGCTCATCCAATTCAATCTGGTGATATCCTGTACAGAGACCTTCAACTATATTAAAGGAAAAATTGAAGCTTTAAAAAATGTTAAACCTTCAGAGAACTATAAATATATAGTTATTCTTATTACTGTGCCCAATAATTTATGTAATGCAATGCCTATTTTAATAAAGGTTAAATGTCATAGAACCCTTCTCCGACTCATCCATATCAACCCAGGTTGCGTCTTAATAGGATTAACGGTTTATAAGAATATAAATAGAATATAAACATACAAACACTAATTTTTATTTATACTACCTAGTTAATTTATATTCGTAAAATGTAGTTAGATTTTTTTTAACCCCGAATTGGTTTTGCTATCTATTTGTCATAAGTAGAGCCCGGATTTTTATGCGCTAAAAAATCGAAAATAATGTGCACTAATAGATCAAAAATATGCACTAAAATCTCAAAAATATGCACTAAAAACAAAGAAGTGTGCAAAACTACTTCTCTCATTTATTTGCTTTATTTAATTTTTTTATTTACTTTTCATATTTTATTACAAGTTTATAATTAACGCAAGATATACATATTGTAATTTTTAGTGCCTCGAAAAACTTAAAATTAATTAAATATATACCTAAAATTTTAAAACTTCTACGTATTAAAAAGAGCGGCACATTTTTCAAAAATTTTCTTTTTGATGCAGAAATGCCCGTAGAGTATCTAGATGTAATTCTGCATCAAAAAAAAAAAATGAAAAAAATGTCGCCTACGTTTTTTGGCGGTTAGGGCTCGATATTTGGCGCTGAGTAAGTGACATTAAAATAATTTTCGGCGAAATCAGTACCCAATAGTTGCATGGAATCATCAAATGCTCTTACAATTGTGGAGTGATTCGTCCGTTCTAGACAAACGGCGTTGAATAAAAAATGCAATTAAATATGCTTTTTTGACAAAATATGCCTATATATGCTTATAAGGAAAAATATGTAAGAATATGCACTAACAAATCCATATCATCTTAACACAAAACTCTTGCTTCGCAACATTTGCTAATCTTTAAGTTCCTATGACTCACGAAAAAAAATTAAATGAATTACTTGGAATGTTACTCATACGCCATGTTGAACTATTAATGTAAACGTACACAAGAAATTATTACGCATTTTCATTTGACCATTTACAACTTTATTTATCAATCAATTTTCTTCGTTCATAGCTTACTGTTGTTGTAAAAGCACAGGCTTTAACACAAATGAAAAGAATTTACAAAAAACTTTTATTTTGAGTTCGCATTTTTTTTGTTCACAATAAAAAAGTTTAATTAAAATATCTTGCGAAAATGACCTGATCTAGAAAAACGATATACAGGGCGGTAATCTACGACCCAAAATCAAGTTTACGTGTTACGGCGTTTTTTTATGTCATTTGAAGACTTGAAATATTCCTTACAGTGTTATTTGCTTTTTTTTCCCGTTCGAAAAGCTTTCAAAATCCTACTTCGCCCGAAAAAAATATGGTATTGCTGATGTGTATGTACATTGTGTTTCTATATAAACCACTTCCACACACAATTCTATCGTCTGCCATGCATGTAACTCAGAAAATGGCCAGCTCCTTAGTTTGACATTTTATGGACAACCACAAGCGCCGCTTCTGCATAGCAGACTTAAGAATCAAATTGTAATGGGGAACAAAAGTTTAAAGAAAGCAGTATATACAACGACAAAATACTCCCAGCAAAAGCGGCGAACAAATATTTTAAAGGAGTTTTGAGTTTTTTGTACCTCCGCCTGTATTTACATGTTCATCAGGCATTTAAGAAATTGGTATTTTGTACTTTTTCGTACATCTTTGGGAAGAAAAGTACCGAAGTACAATCTACGAATTTAAGTACATTTTTGCTCTGAAGTTTCATTATTAAAGAAATTAAATGTATCTTTTCTATATGCATACATAATTGATAATAAATAAGATATGTTAGTATATTTCAAGAATGAAATCCACAAAAATGTAATTTTCATAAGCAAATCGTTGTAGCCTAGCCAGAACCAAAGTACATCGATAAAATAAAGCACATTTTTGCTAGCACTTTTCGTGACTTACCTAAAATATTTTCAAAATTTAAATACATATGCCAAGTTTTTGGCGAAGGCTTCAGAAATGAAGGCATAAAAAAGCTTATGTTTCCTAGCGTATACAAAATAGTGCAAGGTGCGCTATCAATTCCACGCTCTTTGTTGTTGACAGTATTTCTATTCAGAATCTAGTCATAACAAGATGCCGCAATCTGCAATGATCCTTGCATCTTGTATATTTTTAGATTGTACCCTCCTAGTAAGCTTTTGGATCGACGATGTCCCATGGCATTTCGTAAATTCAGTTCTCTTAGCCTGGTGGTTTTCTTCCTTTGCATTCCCTTTATCGCGTTGGGACCTGGTCCTATCGGGGTCGAGGCAGCTGCCAGTCTGGCCAGATGGTCCGCTTCCTCATTACCTTTGACTCCCATATGCCCTGGTACTCATAGAAATTGGAGGGCATCGTTCTCAGCCAGAGCAGAAAGTTATCGGTTAAATCTGAGATTATTTTATAATTACAGATTAACAAAGGAGGAATTTTATATGGCTAACCTCTCTCTCTAATTACAGATTAGGAAGTTAATCTCGAAAATGAGGATAATCTACTTATATGTGAACCTAGTATAAGCCTCTCTACAGACTCCAGGACCACCGAAAATTTGATCTCGAATAATGAGAGAGCCTAGCAATAGCTTAAAATTTGGATCCTCTCAATCTATCCTTACTCCGAAGGTTGACCTCAGCACACAGACTGATGGCATAAACTTCCACTTGAAAGATGCTGGGGAAAGTTCCTAGGGGAACAGAAAGCTTCAGTCTAGGGCCATAAGCACCTGATCCTATCCCCTCAGGATTTTTAGAGCCATCTGTATACCACTTTAATGTGGTCGCCTGGACGTGTCTCTTCTTGATAGAAGTGGTTCTGGTCGCCTTAATAATAATATCCCAACGGTTTTACCCTCCATTGCCGCCCATCCGCACGAGGGGCGCAGTCCGCATGACGTACGGAACCAGTATTTTAAATTTTTGCGCCGAGTCACGATAGGCAGGAGTTTGTTAAGTGTCGAGATCTAAAACTGTTCAGCTACAGAACCAAATTCATCAGCCGATTTTATGTCTATATTTTAATGATTCATTTATTGAGAGAGGACAGTATCGATTTATTAATGCAGAAAAGCGGATCTGATATATCAAACGTGCTGGAATGAGAGTTAAAATCCTGGCATAGCAACGGAGTGGGTCGTGCAATTCAAAATTAGTTTTACAAGCTTTTAGAAATAGGGGGCAAAAGTGTCTTGATACCCGGTTAGGAACATTAAGGCTAACTTCGCCAAGAAGAAGCGGACTTGAAATTGAGCCTGTTAGTAATTTAGCTATAAAAATTGTACCAAGCATTTGCCTGCGGCTGGAAAGTGTAGGAAGATTAACAAGTTTTAATCCGCTCGTGTAAGGTGGAGGTTTTATTGAGAATCCCAACGGAAATTTCTTAAAGCAAAAAGTAGGAATTGTTTTTGAATTGATTCTATCTT